TTGTCGGGGAACATGGAAGAAGAAATAAAGATACAGACATAGAATAAGTAGCAAAATGACAGATCCAACCCCAACTATTCCATTAAAGATATTCAAGTGAATTAAATAAATATTTCAATCAAAAGATAGAAATTGTCTCCCAAGTGAAAAGGTAAGATCTACATGCTTTCTGTAACAGACACACATTAGACTCAAAAGCACAAATAGGTGTAAAAAATGGATAACAAAAGATCTACCCTACAACAATCAGCCCATAAATGAGCAGAAATAGCGATTCTAGTGTCAGACAAGGTAACTGTAAAAATAAGAAATATTATTAGAAATTAAAAGAAACATTTCAACATGTTAAGGCTCTCAATATAAGAGGAAAATAAAACAATTACAAACATATATTATTTACTTTGCAGCAGAACCTTCAAACACCATGAAATAGAAAATGATGGATTTGGAAGGACAAATAAACAATTTAATGGTATAGTTGGAGATTTAAAAGCTGTTCATTAGTAGGGAGAGAACAGCTAGTCACAAAATCAGGAGGCCTATGGAAGACTGTCCAAGCAGTAGGAACAAGCCTGACATAACTGATATATGGAGAAAGAGGTCTAGGTCATAAATAGGGATCACATTTTTGAAGAATGGAGATATTCAAAGTAATAGACAAAGGATTAAATTAGAAGCAACAATGGAAAGACATGTGGACAATTTTCAAACTTGTGGAAAAGTGGTATACTTCTTAAAAATGTATAGTTCCAAGATGAAATCTGTGAATATACCTTGTAGTGGATGATACTAAACTGAGGCTGTATTGAAACTTTTAGAGTGGAACTAAAGTGGCGTTTAGAGACAATATGAAGCTTTGTCACTTATACTCAAAAGGAAGAATGTTATAAAATGCATGACCTGATGACCTTCTCAAGAAGCTATGCAGAGAAGAGCCAATTAAAGTTAGAGAACAAGGAAATGATAAACATATATTTAGCCGAAAGCTGATTCTGAATTATGTATAGTAGAATAACTCACAGTAGCCCCAAATGGATCAATTCCCAAATATCCAAGAGCACCAGCAGTAGTATGGATGAATAAATTTAAGTAGAATCAGACAATGGAACAGAAATGAGTTTGTAGGGATGCCTGGGTGGCTCAGTGGGTTGAGCCGCTGCCTCTGGCTCAGGTCGCAATCCCAGGGTCATTGGATCGAGTCCGCATTGGGCTCCTTGCTCAGCGGGGAGCCTGTTTCTCTCTCCGCCTCTGCCTGCCACTCTGCCCGCCTATGTGCATGCTCGCTCTCTCTCTCTCTCTCTCTCTCTGACAAATAAATAAATAAATAAAATCTTAAAAAAAAAAAAAAAAGAAATGAGTTTGGACAATTGAACACCTCATGCAACTGTATAGGTGAATTGCACAAGTTTTGCTTTCCCTGAAAGAGCCAAGAAAGAAAGAATACATACTGTATGATTCCATTTACATAAAGTGTTTTTTAAATGCAGATTAGAACATGAAAGGGGCATTTTGTAGTGATGGCAATATTCGTATTCTCATTCCACATGATGGTGAGTCTTGAAAATGCAGCCATCTATTGGCATCTTTTGACATGTAAAATTGCATCCATCTGTATGTACATTATACCACAGTAAAATTATCATAAGAGAATATTTTGAAAATATGCAAACATATTTAAAACTAGACATAAAATTGAAAAAATCCTACCAAATTCAACTTTGTGAAAACAAAACCAAAAAGAAATGAAAATATCAGAAGTGTTGTTACAACTTCTAATACAATTTAATCTGTCATTCAGAAAGCTTTTCACACTCAGTTACAGAATATTTAGATGTTTATGAATAAGGAAAAATGTAATGCTAATTGAACAGTAAAAAGAAACCCTTGAGGGTAGAAAAAGGGGCTAATAAAATATGTGTTATGTGCATTTTGATGGGAATGCTAAAAAAAAGTAAATTACATGTTTGTGGCATTCATAAATATATTTGGACAATGTGTAAAAATAAAGGACTATGACATAAGTAGATTTATTGAAACAATACAATGTTGGATTTACATTTGAAATTCCGTAGTCATACTTCATCATATTAGCAGAGTAAAGAAGATCAAATGATATGATTTCCCTGATACAGAAGGCAATTAATAAAATTAACATTCACTCTTATTTTAAAAAAATATCTTTAGCAAGGTAGAAATAAGTAGGAAACATTCATGCAAAGATCTAGAATAGATATAACTCTGGAAAGAATGAGTATAAACTCAATGTTTAAAAAAGGATGGTTTTTAAAGTATGAAATTGACATAAAAATACATGAGGAGGTTAATGAAACAGAAGTGCAAAATTTATATCCACACATATGGAATGTCGATTTCAACAAAGATACAAATAATTCAGTGGAAGAAGTATAGTCTTTTTAAAAAATATTGTGGAAAGAATGGAGTATCAAATATTTTTAATAAATATATACTTTATACTATGTGCAAAACTGCTAAAATTGATCATACATAAATGTAAATGATAAGATTTCAGGAAGATGTATTAGAAAAAAATGCATGACCTAATGTTGGGCAGACAATAGAACAAGAAAAACATGATCCATAAAAGAAAAAATTGGTGAAGTGTAGTTCGACAGGATAATTTCTACTCTTTGAAGAGAAAAGAGAGGTAAATCATAGACTTCAGAGGAAATATTACAAATCATAATCTCATAAAAGACTGGCTGCCAGGATACATAAAGAATTCTCAAAGTATAATTACAAAAATTAAAAATGTAACCAAAACATTTCAATAGTCAACTTCTTCAAAAAACATTATATGGATGGCAAATGAGTATAGGAAAAGATGTTCAACACTATTAGTCTTAGGAACATACAAATTAAAACCACTACAAATCAGACTTCTGGTTCTGGAAAGATAGAGAAGAAAAACTTTTCACTATTTCTCCGACCAAATACAGCAAAAACCCTGGACATTATATAAAGACAACATAAGAAGATTCAGATAGGTGATAAGAAAGCTGACAGAACCAGGTACTCTAGACCCGAGGAATGACATGGTGGTGAGTTCCCTGGAATTTCTCTTTCCCTCACCTGTCCCAGACTGGTGACAGAGAGGCTGTCACCCACAGCCACCAATGGGGACAGACAAAAGCCCCAAGATGTTTTTTCTCTCCAGTCAAAAGAGTGGAAAAAAGGCATGGAGAAAGAGAAAATTTTTAGACACTAACTGCATTATTCATCAAAAATCTATTATCTCACAGTATGACAAACACGCATCACAAAAAATAAATTCCCAATGGGTTATAAACCCTATTTAAGAGTTAAAAAATAAAGAAATAAAGAAAACTGTAAATCCTGGAAAATAACATAGGTAATTATATTCGTTAATTTAGACTAATTTCTGAAATAAGTCCAAAACAATCACTAACCCCCAAATGATAAATTGAACTAGTTACATTAATATATTTTTGTACTTGGGGCATGTGGGTGGTTCAGTTGGTTAAGTGGCTGCCTTCAGTTCAGGTCATGATCAGGGTCCTGGGATCCAGCACCCTGTTGGGCTCCCTGCTCAGCCCAGGAGTCTGCTTCTCCCTCTCCTTCTGCCCCTCCCTCTGCTCATGCTTGCTCCCACTGTCTGTGTGTCTCTCTCTCAAATAAATAAATAAAATACTAAATAAATAAATAATAAACAAACAAATAAATAAATATTGATGATTAAAAACTGCAATATGATAGTAAAAATGTAAGTCACTGCATCAAAATGTATTTGTATCTTATAAACTCAAAAAAGAGCTCATATCTAAAATATGACAAGGACTTCTAAGAAGGGAAAAGAAGACATCATCTAGGAGAAATGTGCAAGAGACACACTAGAGGACTTCTCATCCTCACAAAAGATAACATCCTAATGATTCATGGCCCAGAAAAATAGTACTGTTATAGAACCACCAGATCTTATTGAATTATTTTTCTGAGACTACTGAATTAATTTTCCTGAGACTACAGAATTTTGGACCAAGGCTCTATTTGATAAAGTATATATTTACACAATACATTAGAAAAAACATTGGAATAATTTAATAAATTGAAAACACATAACTATGACCATGCAATTTCATTCTAATCCTTAAATAAAAAGGTATTATAATTAAACATAAATACAATTATAATGTTATAGTTCTATGTTTGTATTTTATGATGATAAATGTAATATTTATATACCTAAATATATTACTACTATACTTATATGCCTAAATATATTACTACTATTTTTATAGGCCTTTTATATTTATATGCCTAAGTATATGACTACTACATAGTCATGCATAAATTACTATACATACAATGTGTGAAAATAGACAAGGAAAGGTTTTCCATAAAATAATTAATGATACGCACATACTAAAAGGACTAAATTTCTAAGAATAGATTTTAAAAGGTCATATTCATGTAAGACAGGGCAGTGAACATTCACAAACGATAGACTAATTAATAATAGAGATGGATTACAAATATGTGAGAGTGAAAGGTGACACATTTAAATTGCACACTGCATGAGTCCATTGATATGAAGTCCAAAAATAAGCAAAGATATTTCACAATATGAAAATTAGCAGAGCTAATAAAGGCTCTAAGCTTCTATTTCAGGATCTGATTTGTAATTATGTGGTTCTAGCTCCTTTGTGATCAATTTCACAATCATAGACTTAGTTTTTTTGATGTGTGGTAAGATTAAATAGTAAAGGTTAATTTAGGAAAAATGGCATATATAGAAGCACAGTTTTCTATGAAAAGCTAGACTGAAATTTATCAAATGTACATTAACAGTATAAAATATAAATAAAATATTTAGGGTCAAACTATGGAACATTAGCAGACTTTAAAACAATAACAATTAACTATAAATACAAACACAAACATAAAACTAAGGATGAACTCTACAAGTATATTATAATATTAACTGATAAGATCTTAATAAAATGGAAACATTTGAATCTTACCATTTCCTCTTCATCATCTATGGAAAGTAGTTTAGAGTTCTTAGAAGCACAGGATGCTGAACTCTCATTCCATGATTTTCTTTCAGTGCTAATATAATAGCAATTGTTAGAATATGTACTCTTTATATATATATATACACTCTTTCGGACAACAGTGATAAGCTGGAGAAAGGTTATGAGATGTCATCCAAAAGAATTTTGAATACTAACAAATTCAAATTAATTTACATGCTCACCTATGTGTGCATATATGTGTGCATAACATATCCATGTATACCTAGGAAGGTATAAATAGGACAAAATATGCTTACACACACTCAACAGAGAATGGTTAGCCAATCATACCCTAACTTATGTGTTTATATAGAGCAAACACCCAAAAATTTCCATCTCTCCATGTCATGAGAGTCACTGGAGGAAACCATTATTTTACATTTATCCCTATCCCTGGTATAGCAGAAGGAAATTTGAGGTAATGGGTAACAATGGATATGGGAATTTGAGTATTTCTTCAGATTGTTACATTAGAAGTAATACTCTCCTATAGTCATTATTTCTGAAACTTTATTACATGATTTTCTATTTTATTTTCCCCAAAAGAATCTACTATCATCTTTTCCTTGTTTAAAATAGAGAGAAAATAGAAAACTGTGTTAATATCAGAGTTCAGAAAATGATTGTACCTTTTTGGATCCTTGTTTCCAGGAGTGTTTTGTTCTGCTCTGTTCCTTCTGTAACTAGAAAAATTAAAGTAATCCTCACAAAAACTTAATATTAAAATAAATAAATCATAATGATGTGAGTTTCTCAATTTGAAAGTTGGTCTATTATTTAGAATGAGAAAGTTCTGCAGCAAAGTTGACTTACCAAAAAAAGTTAATAAAATAATGAAGATGGGGAGGAAAATATTTCAAACACATAAAGAACAAGCCTCACTATAACTTACAGTATTTGATTTAACCAGTCTCAAGAATTAACGTGTATATCTCCATAAGGGCTCTCCTATAACTTGTCTTTGAGCTATGAAATCTGAATATGTGTGTAATACTCTCTACAATTATTCTGTTATTTATATTTTGACAAATTCAGAATAACCATTCCACAGAGAGCATACATGCATTAAAATGAGATAATACAATTCCATAATATTATGCAGTATTTCAAGGCACTGATAATCATTAAAGTGAAAAATTCCCTGGTAGTCATTCAAACACTTACAGGGAATAACAGCTATTCTGACCACAGTGGACATCAAGACAAGGCAAATGATTCCCAGGATCCCAGCAATGAGCTTTCCTGGACATAAAAGTAAATAGTTGGAAGAGAAATGAAAACACTGAGAAAGGATGGGCAGAAATAATCCTTAGGAAATTTACATACAGTAGAAACAACAAAGCACAGGGAGTCACATATAAAAATTTGGGCCCCAAACTTGTATCTATTGTTATAATCATTTTTCAGAATATACCATTACCTTTACAGTAAATTTATTACCCCAGGAGATGCTGGTAAAGATTACAAATTATAGCAAGGCTGGAACAAAGTTAGTCATCAGATATCAATTACACTATATTGCAACTTCAAGCTCTGATCTTCAGAAATGAAAAATACGGAAATCATTCCCTATTCATTCTCTGCATTCTGCAGCCCAACTGCACATCATAGTACATCATACTACAGATATACTGTGTGTGTATTACATGTTTTACCTTCACAATAGGAGTTCTTGCTGTTCCTTTGAGGATCCTGAGAAGCATTTTGAAGATTTGAAGCATCTTGAAGATTTAATTCTACATAGGTTATTTCCTGCTCAGTTTCTGAAATGGGACTTTTAGTGCTCTTAGCTTTCACTTGCTGTCTTTTTGAACCCTTAATCTGATTGAGTTCTGCATAGGTAACTCCATGGTTATTCATCTCTTCAGCTGCGTGGTGTCAGGCACAGGGCTGAATGGGACTGTACTGAAGGACTTGATGAATAGTGTAGGCGATGACAAGATTGCTGGGACAGTCACGGTGGGTGGAGTGTGTGGTGAGTGATAGCATTCATTTGCTGTTGAACAATGTAAAATTTGGTACTAATTTCCTTAGAGCTTTAAAGCAGCATTTCATGATAGAATACATTGTTATTATGATGTATTCTATGTTTGAGAGAATAGTACTGGTTGGAGTAATATAAAGCAATAAATTAGGGAAGAAGAAAGGAATTCAGAAATAATATTGTCCTTATCAATGTAAGGTCAGATTCAGTAGAACTTTTCAATGATAGTGGAATAACTGGGTTAAAATTAAAAACTTGTATAAAAAATGCTGTACCAACTTTTTTGACAACTTTTAAATCCATGTTGGTTAAAAATTGAGTGGTCTAAGGTTAAGAGTACTAGTGTTAGCACATACAGGATTTTCCTGTAGTATATGTCTGTTATTGGGGGATTTACATTTCCTTACTAAAAGGTAGTGCAGTGTTATCAAGTGAATTTTTACTTTGAATAACTGTGGAGTTCTAGAAATCATTTAATTTTAAAAGAAAGATTTTATATGTTGAAAAATATTACATGATACCCTAAACTTACTGAAAATCTGAACATTGAAAGCAAAGACCAAAATATATTTTTTAAAAGTGCTTATATAATACTAGAAGTTGACAATTGATTTAATGATAAAGATATGAAATCATAAATGATAAATAAAAGTGTAGATCATTTATGGAAGACCACTGGTGGTGCAAACTACAGAAAGATCTATGAATGTCAAAGGCAATGTGGACAGGTTTACTTGTATAAAGAATTCTAATAAATCAAAGAAGTGTAATTTCATAATTCAATCAATGAGCTCTGTAATAAGTGAAATCTGAAATTACTCCTGGATCTCAAAACTTACAAAGTATGATATTTATAAAGTTACTTCATGTCTAACTACACAGTTTCTACTAATCTAAAATGTGAATTAAAATAAAATATAATGCATATAAAGCATTCATACCTTTTAGACTATGTAACATAATTCATTAGACAGGAGTGTCTTTCAGTATTGAATATTTTTTTTTTTTTTTGCCAAGTTTGGGTATGTTTTTAAAAAAAGTCTTTTGAAGACACAGGGTATCAGAATGGATAAAAAAAACAAAACCCATCTATATGTTGCCTACAAGAAACTAATTTTAAACCCGAAGACACTTTCAGATTTAAAGTGAGGGGGTGGAAAAGAATTTACCATGCTAATGGACATCAGAAGAAAGCAGGAGTGGCAATCCTTATATCAGATCACTTAGATTTTAAACCAAAGACTATAATAAGAGATGAAGATGGACACTATATCATACTCAAAGGATCTGTCCAACAAGAAGATCTAACAATTTTAAATATCTATGCCCCTAACGTGGGAGCAGCCAACTATATAAACCAATTAATAACAAAATCAAAGAAACACATCGACAATCATACAATAATAGTAGGGGACTTTAACACTCCCCTCACTGAAATGGACAGATCATCCAAGCAAAAGATCAACAAGGAAATAAAGGCCTTAAATGACACACTGGACCAGATGGACATCACAGATATATTCAGAACATTTCATCCCAAAGCAACAGAATACACATTCTTCTCTAGTGCACATGGAACATTCTCCAGAATAGATCACATCCTTGGTTCTAAATCAGGTCTTAACTGTTATCAAAATACAATTGCACCCAAAACTATAAGATACCTAGGAATAAACCTAACCAAAGAGACTAAGAATCTATACACAGAAAACTATAAAGTACTCATGAAAGAAATTGAGGAAGACACAAAGAAATGGAAAAATGTTCCATGCTCCTGGATTGGAAGAATAAATATTGTGAAAATGTCTATGCTACCTAAAGCAATCTACACATTTAATGCAATTCCTATCAAAGTACCATCCATTTTTTTCAAAGAAATGGAACAAATAATCCTAAAATTTATATGGAACCAGAAAAGACCGCGAATAGCCAAAGGAATATTGAAAAAGAAAGCCAGAGTTGGTGGCATCACAATTCCGGACTTCAAGCTCTATTACAAAGCTGTCATCATCAAGACAGCATGGTACTGGCACAAAAACAGACACATAGATCAATGGAACAGAATAGAGAGCCCAGAAATAGACCCTCAACTCTATGGTCAACTAATCTTCGACAAAGCAGGAAAGAATGTCCAATGGAAAAAAGACAGCCTCTTCAATAAATGGTGTTGGGAAAATTGGACAGCCACATGCAGAAAAATGAAATTGGATCATTTCCTTACACCACACACGAAAATAGACTCAAAATGGATGAAGGACCTCAATGTGAGAAAGGAATCCATCAACATCCTTGAGGAGAACACAGGCAGCAACCTCTTCAACCTCAGCCGCAGCAACATCTTCCTAGGAACATCGCCAAAGGCAAGGGAAGCAAGGGCAAAAATGAACTATTGGGATTTTATCAAGATCAAAAGCTTTTGCACAGCAAAGGAAACAGTTAACAAAACCAAAAGACAACTGACAGAATGGGAGAAGATATTTGCAAACGACATATCAGATAAAGGGCTAGTGTCCAGAATCTATAAAGAACTTAGCAAACTCAACACCCAAAGAACAAATAATCCCATCAAGAAATGGGCAGAAGACATGAACAGACATTTCTGCAAAGAAGACATCCAGATGGCCAACAGACACATGAAAAAGTGCTCCATATCACTCGGCATCAGGGAAATACAAATCAAAACTGCAATGAGATACCACCTCACACCAGTCAGAATGGCTAAAATTAACAAGTCCGGAAATGACAGATGCTGGCGAGGATGCGGAGAAAGGGGAACCCTCCTACACTGTTGGTGGGAATGCAAGCTGGTGCAACCACTCTGGAAAACAGCATGGAGGTTCCTCAAAATGTTGAAAATAGAACTACCCTATGACCCAGCAATTGCACTGCTGGGTATTTACCCTAAAGATACAAACGTAGTGATCCGAAGGGGCACGTGCACCCGAATGTTTATAGCAGCAATGTCTACAATAGCCAAACTATGGAAAGAACCTAGATGTCCATCAACAGACGAATGGATAAAGAAGATGTGGTATATATATACAATGGAATACTATGCAGCCATCAAAAGAAATGAAATCTTGCCATTTGCGACAACGTGGATGGAACTAGAGGGTATCATGCTTAGCGAAATAAGTCAATCAGAGAAAGACAACTATCATATGATCTCCCTGATATGAGGGAGAGGAGATGCAACATGGGGGGTTAATGTGGTAGGAGAAGAGTAAATGAAACAAGTTGGGATTGGGAGGGAGACAAACCATAAGTGACTCTTAATCTTACAAAACAAACTGAGGGTTGCTGGGCAGAGGGGGGTTGGGGGGGGTTATGGACATTGGGTAGGCTATGTGCTATGGTGAGTGCTGTGAAGTTTGTAAACGTGGAGATTCACAGACCTGTACCCCTGGGGTGAAAAAAATATATATATATATGTTTATAAAAAATAAAATTATAAAAAAAAAAAAATTGAACCACGTTAGAACTGGGTCGTCCAAGAACTAGCATATTTTGTTTCACATAAAATATATTAGACAACCAAAGTGATGGGATTTTTGTTTGCTTTGTTACTGAATTTGAAAAAGTCTGTTTGCCTTGAAAAGTAAATAAAGGGCTTTTCTTAATTAAAATAAAAAAAAAGTCTTTTGAATGTTTGTAGTTAAGTTTAAATTAACATTTGCAGAAGGTACATCATCTTGCTTTTTATGAAAAATCAAATTGCTTTCATTCATCTAAGCAAATGTATGAGGAATTCTGTTTGACCATTATGATTTAATGGATTTCTATTAATAATCTATTTTTTAAGACTGGGCTAAATATAAAATAATATGTATAATTATAAGTGATGACAAATCCATGTTAAGTGTTCCTTTTTATGATGCTTATGGCTTTCACCTGAAATTACATTGATCTGCAAACACAATTATGTACATGCATATATTATTAATTACGTCTCTACAGGTAAGAATTCAAATATTTTAGGAAATTCTCCAAGATATTTCATATCCATTCTTGTTTGTCACCCTGAATTGTTGGAATAAATATACCAATGTTCTCTGTGATTTGATTGTATATTAATTGTACCTCAGATATATCTTATTCAGCATTTGTAATCTACCAGCAAAAGAGGTGGCTAAGAGAGAGACAGCAGAGGAGTGACACAATACCTTCTGTTGACCAGAGAGTTGGGCATCTTCCAGTGGGAGACCAGGTTACTCTTGTAAACAGACAGTATCTGTGGTCTTCACAGACTGCTGGCCCTGTGAGAGCTGAGTGAGGCAATAGTGGAAAAAGTAGATTTCTCATCAATGTGTCACTTAAAATTTGAACAGGAAATTCTTACACTTGGGCTATTTTGAAGCCAGTGCATCTCATACACACCTCCAGAATGTAAAGGCTTTGAGCTTGTAGTGTGTCATTTAGTTTGTGCCAAGAAATTTTTATGTTCCAGAAGATACTGGGGTCAGACTTGACCACCAGGCTGTTAACTGAATCACAAACACTGAGTACCTAGACCTTATGAAAAATATCTTAGATGTTTAAGTTTTACTTTTAGAGAAGGTTGCTAAATCTTGGCATTACGTATTTTTTCTTATGCCTTTGCTATGTCATTTCTCTTATACTGAAAATATTCTAAAATCATCATCCTCTTAACAGGTATTTAATGGTATTTGGCACTAATTCTGAAGACTTACTACATTTTCAAATTTATTGCTACTGTCACAAAAACACCAATTTCCAACTTATCTTTTTTTCTTAAGATTTTATTTATTTATTTGACACAGAGAGAGAGATCACAAGTAGGCAGAGAGACAGGCAGAGAGAGAGGGGGAAGCAGGTTCCCTGCTGAGCAGAAAGCCCGATGCAGGGCTCCATCCTAGGACCCTGGATCATGACCTGAGCCGAAGGCAGAGGCTTTAACCCACTGAGCCACCCAGGCACCCCTAAACTTACCTTTTTTAAAAAATTGTATTTATTTACTTGAGAGAGAGAGAGAGAGGGAATGAGCACAAGTGGGGGGGGGGGGGGGCAAGGGAGAGGAAGAAGTGATCTCCCCACCTAG